GTTACAAAAACTTACTAGCCATAACCAAACACCTTGAGGGAATGAGTTTTTGACAGTATAGAAGTGCTATGTATGCATAGGGAGACAGCTCATGGGGCAGGAGTGCATGGGAGGGAAGGACACACAGGGAAGAGGTAGCTATGGGGAGGAAGTGGGAGGAGAGCTGTTGCCTTGTGGAAGATTACAGTCAATGTCATGAGACAATTGTCATAACATAGTTCACAAAGACAATGTTCTGTATCCTACTTTGGCGAATGGCAACTGACATCTTAAAAGGTTGTGAGTGGCCATCTCAGGTGCAAGTATTTGTCTCTCTCAGTCCTGAGTAAATATTAGTGAAGAAAATCTAAGACACCTGGAAACAGGTCAAAGGACTAATGGGCCATGTGAATCTCAGCCTCCATGACCTTGAGACCAGAAAAACTAGATGGTGCTGGTTGCTACTGCTGACCACTCTGAAAGGATCATATTAGGAGGTCCTGGATAGAGTGGGAAAAAAAATGTGGAACAAAAAAGACCAGGCTTACCAGTCTGATAAACACTGGCTTACCAGTGGAACCCTGAAACACTCTTCAGGCCTGGAACTGAACTCACCTGTGTGGCTCAACTTTTAGCCAAAAGGTAGATAGACCTATAAGGTGAACAATCACACCCTGGAAGTATGCACTCAGTAGAACAGTCAACTATATGAGATCTAAAGTACAGCATTTGTCCAGGGATAAAGCTGAGAAGGCAGGAAGTGGAAAGAGTATTATTACATTGTGGGGATTGCCCTCAGTGTTACTAAACAAAATATGTGGGAATTGTTGAATGGAAAACCAGTTTGCCTTGTAAATTTTCACCCAAATCACAATAAAATAAAGTAGAAGGATAAGTAAGAATTTGTTGAAGTTTTGTTGTTTAAGAAGAATTTTGAATTGTTACAAAGTAAAGCTGCAAAATGCTAAAAATTCTTTAACATGTGTCTCTGTTTCTCTTTAGTCTTTAGGAAAAAATCTGGATGGACAGCTAGATGTAGTCCACTGTGACTTTTTCAAATTGGATCCTAGAAATGGTAGCCTGGTAAAACCACCCATTATGATTTCACAGATGCTTTTTCAGAATTTAGGAATAGAAGCACTTCCTTGGTCAGCAGGTAATTTTTTGTCGTTCACTAAAGCAAATGCCTTATGACTTGGCACTTTATCAGTACAGCTGGCTTGTTGAAGAGCTTTGTGTACGGTTTCTACTATACAGTTTTTGAGCAAATGCTTGTAAGATGAATGTGACATTCTCTTCACCTGGCAGAAATAATGAGAGCAATTCCCAAAAGCCATGTTCCATTTCAAAGAAAGATGGGGAAGTTTTATTTTAATTGAAATAAACTGAAATTATATAGTTTGTTAACTTAGATTAACACAATGAAATATGGCTATATGAAACAGGTAACGAACTTTTCTGAAATATTTTTGCTTGTATTCCTAACAGGTATCCCTTTAAAAGTAATTGGAATCTTCCCAATTAAAACTGAAAAAAAGGCACTCTGGAAACTTATATATGACCTATATTCCTGTACTTCTATATATAGATATGGCCGAGTAGAACTCAATATGTTTATTAGTGAAAAGGAATACCAGGTAAGTTATTAGTAAGTACTTAATAAGTTTTTTGTTTTGAAATAATTCTGTATTTTTCTGAGTAGCCTTAATCTATATGATTTTAATGTAGGATTTAAGACATTTGAGATTCCTAAGATTATTGTAAATTTCTGTAGAGCAATCTTTAGACTCTACTTTTATTCCTTGTAGTCCCTGGGTGCTGCAAACAGTTAATGTATTCAGCTGCCACCAAAAGGTTGGCAGTTTGGGTCCCTCAGAGGTACCTTGGAAGAAAGGCTTGGCGATCTACTTCTGAAAAATCAGCCCTTGAAAGCTCTTTGGAGCACAGTTCCTTTCAGAAACACATGGTGTCACCTTGAGTTGGAATTAACTCAGTGGCAACTAGCTTTGGTTGGGGTTTTTATTCTTTGTAATTAACGGGTTTCTTGGAAGTCCTTATTGCCATGAGAATCAAGTTCTCAGTCTGCCCAGAATACTTTATGTTATTAATCTGCTAGGCTTAGGATAGTAGGACAGGAAGTGAAGGAGTTATTTCCCCCCTAGACCCAGATAATGAGAAATTGTGACTGGTCTTGGAAGGACCACAGGGCATTCAGAACCTTTGACTATAAGTGTAGTGTAAGAATGGAAGAACAAAGGGAAGAGAATAAGAAATACTTCGTTGGGTTTCATTTTGCTTTTAGGAAAATGCTCCAATGGCTCCTGCCGCTTTTGCCTTTTCACATGTGGTTTTCTCTCTGTAGTGGCCTCACTTATGGAGGGAACCACTCATCCTTCAGGTGTCAACCTTAGCAACACTTGACTCACAATTTAGTGGGCCCACCTGATACATGTTTTAACATACCTGTCCTCCAAAGGAACCTTGATGGTACAGTGGTTAAGCACTTGGCTGCTAACCAAAAGATCAGCAGTTCAAACCTATCAGCTACTTTGCAGAAGACAGATGTGGCAGTCTGTTTCCCTAAAGATTATACCCTTGGAAACCCTGTGAGGCCAGTCCTCTGTTCTGCAAGGTTGCTGCGACTCAGTTGACTCGATGGCAGTGGGTTTGGTTTTATGTTTGGACCTTCTCTGTAGAACACGTATGTCACAAGTTAATTCATGTAATTAGTTAATGTTTTTCTACCCTCCTACGTCCTAAGAACAAGGGTAGAAATTACTTCTGTTTTTGTTCACTTTCATAATTAAATGATGATATTTTCCCTAACACATGATATGATTAAAGGAAATCAATCCCAGAATAGATTAGATTTGTAATGTACGTAATAAATTTTCAACATGAAAACTTTCTCTTTCCTGCAGAGGTTAAGATTTTTCCTTCTAATTTTGTTTACTTAAATTTCTAGATAGTATTAAGCTATTACTAAGAAGATGCAACATTTGACTTTGATTGATTAGAATTATATTTGATATGTAACTCTTGTTTTCTTTTTGTTAGAAACTAACAGCAAAACCCAAAACTCCAAACTTGTATCAAGCATTAAGTGTGCTCTGGCAAGTAGCTTGTGACATTAAGCTTCTGCACATGGTGAGTAAAATCCTTCTGAATTTTAACAGAAAGCTTCATTATTATTCAAATTGGCTGGTTTTCTGTGACCTGTAAATAGAAAAAAGATGAAAAAATAAAAAGATTAATTTTATCATTTTCCCAACTGTTAAATAATATTTTTTGGTCACAAATATTTATTTTTCCCTAATTACAAAAATGAGGTATGCTTATTGTAAAATATGCAACATGTAAAGGAAGGAAATGAAGGGAAAAAGAAGGGAAGAAATAAATTTTAAAAAGAAGGAAGAATTAAAAAGAAATCATTACTGCAGTGCTACTCCACAGAAGTAATTTGGCATTTGAACATATTTTCAGGTTTTTTTTTTCCCCTATGCTTTTTTCCTTTATATAAACCAAACCAAACCCACTGCCACTGAGTTGATTGCAACTCATAATGACCGGTAGAGATTATACTGGATGGTATCATGCTTTTTTCGCCTAATAATTAGTTCTAAGCTTTTTCCTATGCCATTCAATACTTTTCTTAAGTTTTAATTGCTATATACTACTTCACTATAGAGAATTTCTTTTTTTT